CCCCAAAACCCCAAAACCCCAAAACCCCAAAACCCCAAAACCCCTAAAAATATAATAAAGATTGAAAATGGAAGAAAACTTAGGGAATAACAACGATTTGATATACTACACCGTATTTTTAGGTGTCATGACTATTCCAACGCTGTTGCTGCTTGTGAATACTGGATTCAGGACTTATAAGGAGCTTAAGCAGGATTATTATGACCTTTTTAGGATCGGACAATATGCATTCTTAATAGTCTATCTCGTATCATGGATGTTCTTCTACATTTTTATCATGTCTTCTGATATTATATCAGTTTATGAAATAGCTGTCTGTATTGCGAGTGGTACTAACATGGGATATATAGTTATCAACCTTCTGTTATGGGTGTTGATTATTATTCACCTTGATAACCTTGTGAAAAAGGAGGAAGATATCGAGAAATTCATCAGAAACAGAAGGAGAATCAAGAGAATCGAAGTCATAAGTATTCTGTTTGCAATGATTATCTGCTTCACTGTTTTAAGCTTAAATGGAGTATCAGCATGGAGATCCATTCAAGCTAAAATTGATGATAAGGCACAAAACAGTTTTGATGATGTTGATAAAGTATCTTGTTGGTTATCTATTGCTTTGTACGTCTTCTTTATAGTTAGCGAGATTCTTCTTGTTATGAAGTTAATGAAATTGGTCAAGAAGTACTGAAATTATGATAAGCAATATAGCAAGTACTTTCCCTGGCTTGCTGGAAGTAATGTAATTTATTATACTTTTCAGTTAATTACTTTCATAATTATGATGGTTTATAAGCAGACATATTGCGAGATTTCTCAGCTTAACAAAGAAACAAAATCTTCAAATTATTTTCCAAGAATAGCAAAAGCTGTTCTTTTCTTCTTTAACAACAACCTGCCTCTATTATATGCTTATTTGAACATTAAAAATGTGAGTTTTAAGCTATATATCGTGAATACCTTGGCAGGAATACATAAACCCAATCTCTGTCCTGCAAGGATCTCTCTGTTTATTGTTGTATCATGTAAATCTGACCGTGAAGTCTCACAATATGAAGGGGTAAGTTTTGATGGATTATCTTTAGTCAACGGTTGGCGAGCCGAGTATTAACGAATACAGTAGTGATAGACCTGATGTGTACCTTCTTTATGAAGACATGGATCAAGACGAGCCTAGAATTGTAAATCCTGTGAACATACTCAACTAACCGTCTGCTGATTTCATGGATAAGAATAGTAACTAATAATGCCAATTTAAAAGCAGTAGTTTCATCCAAATTTCAATGGTTGAATCCTAAAACGGGGTTTTGGGGTTTTGGGGTTTTGGGGTTTTGGGG